ACCCCGGCCCACACACGCGCAGTGCAGGCAGTAGAACTGGGCGCAGCCGGGCAGGTCGGGGTCGGGTTCCTGCCGCAGCAACCGAGCAGCGTTCTCGGGCCGTAGGTCCCCGTGAATCTCATCCAGGTCTCGTCGGCGCCGCTTCGTCTTCAACTGCCGGGCCAACGAGTGCGCCCGGTGAGCCCCGGTACGGCGGCCATTGCGCGGTGACATGGCGGACCCACGCCGGGAGGATGCGCCGTAGTGCGCAGGCGCAGGCATAGGCCCCGCCCCACGCCCGTACACCCCGCCCAGGAGACGGCAAACCACGCCTGTGTGGCGGCAAACCACGCCCACGCAACCGCAAGCCACGCCCACGCAACCGCAAGCCACGCCCATAGACCGCAAGACCACGCCCATTTGGGGGTAGGCCACGCCCCCAGGCTCAGCCCTGTATCTCTGCCTGACGGCCGTGGCCAGCCCCGCTCCAACCGGGGCCGGTGAACGGTCCCGGGGGCCAGCCGAGTCCCCAAGGGTCCCCAGCACCCGGTGGCAGCCGTCCCCAGGTTGTCCCCGTAGCGGGACACAGGGCCTGGCCTCGGGGCAGGGGGTGACGGGATCCGGTCCTGCCCCGGTCACTGGTGTGATGAGCTGGGGAGGGCTCAGCACACCGTGTCCCAGCACTGATCGTGTTTCCTCCGCTCTGGGTGATCAATTATAAATGAGGACCCACGGCACGGGGGGGACGGAATGTGTGAGGAGCGCCGAGCCCCAGCGCCTCCTCTGCACTGTGGGCTTGGGGTGACCCCAGCCTTGGGGAGGGTCCCCTAGGGGTGAGGGGCACTGGGGGGCTGGGGCAGGGAGGTGGAGGGGGGGGGAGGTTGAGGGTGACCAGAGCAGCTGCCCCTGCGCTGCCCCCGGCTCAGGCCGGGCTCAGGTTCCCCTTTGTGCATTGGAAGTGGCCCCTGAAAGTTTAATGAAGCCACTGGATCGCCGGGGAGGCACGGGGGGGGCGCCCAGCCCCCCACCCCTCCTGCTCCCCACGGCACCCGCCGGCTTCTGGCCCCGCTGAGCCCCTCACCATGACCCAGGGCTTCTGGAGGATCTACAAGGCCAAAGTGCTGCAGACACTGGGGGGGACGCGGGCGGACGGAGCGCTGCAGGAGGAGGTAGGGTGTGTGTGGGGGGGTGACCGCCAAGCCTGGGTCCCCCCAAAGCGGGGTGACAAACCTCCCTGCCCTCCCCCTGCCTGCACCCCTGTCCTCACGTGGGGGTTTCGTTGCAGGGAGACCCCCCCGAGCTGATGGAGACGGCCGAGACACCCAGGCTGATGGAGGAGGGACCCAGCCCCGTGTCCCAGCTGGCGAGGAAGGTGAGGAGGAGGCTGGGGGGGAAGCGGGGGGCCGGGGGGGCCTGCTGGGACCTTGGGGTCCCCGGTGAGCCCAATGCTGCCTCCCCCGCAGGTGCAGGGGGTGGGTGCCCGGGGCTGGCGGACACTTTCGTCCCTCTTCACCAGCGAGGATGAGCACCAGCTGCTCAGCCCAGAGTCCTGCGCAGACCAGTAAGTTGCAGCTCGGGGCGGGGGGGGGCACACACCCCAGAGCCTGGATCCAGCCCCTGGGAATTGTGGAGCCCCCACATCCCCCTGTTCCATCACCTCATCCCCCTCCACTGCCTATACCTGTGGGCCTGGGCTGGGGGGCAGCAGGGAGGGAGCCGGCATGGAGGGGGGGTATTGGGGGGGTTGGGGGTCCCAGTCCCTGGCCACTGCGGGACCCGGCAAGAAGGGACCCCACACCGACGTCCCCATCCCCGCTCCCTCTCCAGCCCGCTGGCCACCTCGCCGCCCGAGCCACCCCCCTCCGAGAAGGCACCCGGCTTTTGGGATCTCTTTGCTACCAAGTGGCAGCAGGTGTCGGGGCCGGACAAGGCGGTGCCCCCCCCGGAACCGGGTGAGAGCCCCGGGGAGCCGCCGGGTGACGATGGCAGCGACCTGCGGGAGCCAGAGGAAGGGGCCTTCCGCTGGGGCTTCTTGGCTGGCAAACTGGCCGAAATCAGGAACAAGAATGCCCCCAAGGGCAACTAGAGGAGGACATGCTGGCCGGACTCTCCAAGTGGGCAGCCCCCTGCCCGCACCCAAGGGCTCCGCGGTGGGTTTCGGCAACGTGTCTGCACTAAAGATCCTGAGGTGCCCCTTTTCCCCAAGCCCTGCCTGGTGCTTTCTTTGCCCTTGATCCCCCCCCCGGCAGCCCCATCACCCCTGGAGCAGCACGACCCCCACGGTGGGGATGGGGAGCTGCTACCCCCCCACCCTGAAGCATTCCCCCCCAAGCCCGGGCTCTGCCCGCACAAACCACACACACTGCCAGGCTAGAAAAAAACCGACAAAAATCAAGTTTATTCAGCGCTGCTCTGGCCTCAGCAGCCCCTTTTCTGGGGAAGAGGGGGCTGTGGGGTGGGCGCTGCCCGCGACGGGGGGGGCTCAGGCTCTGCCCCCCCCCCCCCAGTCTGCAGCTGGTGCAGGACACGAGCGGCCGACGGGGGCTGTGGGCCCATCCCACCACCTTGGGCTGGAGACAGGGAGGATGGAGAAGATGGGTCACAGCAGGGGACAGCAGCCTGCCAGCCCTGGGGTCAAGGAGAGAGTCACCCAGGGGACCCCCTTCCCCTCAGGTACCCCCATCCCTGGGTCTGGGGTAGACCTGGTGGCCCTCCCAGCCAGCAGCAGCCCCACGGCACGAGGACCGTGGATGCCACCAGCCCATCGGCCACATTCACCGAGGGCGAGGGGCCACGTCCAGCCAAACGGGAACCACACGGACGTCCTCGTCCCCGGCCAGGCTGCCTCCGCTCAGACGGTGGATTCCTTGGCGGCCGCCCAGGCTCTCTGGCAGCCGTAGAGCCACTTGATGACGCGGGCATTGCGTTCCACCACCGAAACGGTGGAGCCAAGCCGGGCATCCTGCTCCTCCTCACCCAGCCCCACGTTCCCCTCGCTGCCTTCCGAGGCCTGCCCGGGCTCCGACTCGCAGGAACCGGGATGCCGAGTCGAGGCGTTGTCCCAGCCCGCTGGTCCGAACCGCTCCCGTCCCAGCAGCTCCACCAGTGCCCGGTCCAGCCCGCAGTAATTAAAGAACCGCTCCTTCTCCGAGAGCGGCAGGGAGACGCGCAGAGCCAGCGCCTGCTTGCCGGGGGGCTCAGGGGGCTGCGCCATGGGGCTGCTGGGCAGAGGGAAGATGCCACCGCCACCACCGCCGCCGCTGCTGGCACCCGGCGTCCTCACCTCCTCCTTCTCCGCGGGCACCCACAGCATGGGGGTCTCGGGGCTCAGGGGGGCCGGCGGCCCCTCACCCAGCCCCCTGGCTGGGGGGGAGCTGGGGGGCTTGTTTCTGAGGGGTCCCTGGAAGAGGCGTCGCACCAGCCCAGAGCCCTTGGCATTTTCTTTGTCGCCACCTGGACAGTCCCGTTTCTGCCGGTAGATGATGAGGGAGTCGGGTCTCAGCAGGCGTCTGCCGCCGGTCCGGCGCGACACAGGGGACTGGGGGCACGGCAGCTTCCTGGGACCCTCCCGGCTCAGCTCTGAGCCCTGACACAACTCGTTACACTGTTGGCGGGCAAGGAGGCGCCGGCTGCGGGGGGAGAACCGGGGCGAACAGCTTCGCAGCGCCGGCTCCTGCCGGCTGTTGATGACCTGTTGGGATTTGACGTATTTGGCCTTGTCGGCCTCCAGCCGCTCCACGGCGCTGGGTCTCCGGCCCCCACTGCCCCCCGACTCCTGCGGACACTCGGGGCCTCGGTTCAGCCAGGCCAGGGGGGAGCTGCGGCCACGGGCCACGAGGCGCAGGTTGCTGGAGGTGCAGACGGCAAGAGGGGGGCTGCTCAGGGGTACCATTGCCCCCCAACCCCAAAATTGCACCCCTGGTTGTTCTGCTCCCCTCCTGAGTGGCTGGGGGGGGTGTCCGGTGCTGCGGCTGGGGAGGTTCACGAAGCTTCACACGGATCCTGGATTCAGCCCTGGGAGGAGAGAGGAGAGTTGGGGTTAATGCTGAGGATGCAGAAGTGGCAGGGGAATGTTGGGGGGGGAAGCGGAGCTTAAGGGGGGGGGGGTCCCCTCAATCCCACGCCAAGCAGCGAGCCCTGCCAGCCCAGGCAGGAAGAATCCACGGGCAGGAAGAGAGAAGCGCCGAGCATCCGCCGGCTTCACCCGCATCCCAGGAGCAGCTTCCAACAGGAAAAAATACCGGAGCCCGGCCACCTTATCTTTCCGAGTGCAGGGACAACAAGAACAAATCCTGTGCGCAGGAGAGCTGGCGAGCTGCCCCGGCTGGGCCCGTGCCTGGTGGCAGCAGGGAAGGGGCCGGGGGATGTTTTGGGGTCTCCGTGCCGTGCTCCCCGCAGCCAGGCCAGGCTCGGCTGCCTTGGAGGGAAGGTACCTCTCCTGCTCGATGCGTGGGGGGCCATGGAGCAAAGGGGCTTTTATTAGCCCTGGGGTGTGATGGCTCTTGCTCAGCTGTACCCGAGCATCCGTGCGGGTCTGGGCTGTGAATCCGGCTATGGAGGTGGGAGCTGGGGGAAGGGGGTCTGGAGCCTGAGCCGATGGCTGTAAATGCCCAAAGCAGATGGTTTTGCTGAGCAGAAGAGGCCCAAATGGCCACAAAGAGCCACCCCACTGCCAGCGGCTGACCCAGCACCGCCGCCTCCCCAGGTGACAGCAGGGACATGGGATTGGGCAGAGCAGGACTCACTAGAGAGCAAACAGCCCGGGAGCCCTCTGCCCACGCACATCCACACACAGCCCACGGGCTTCATGGCTGGTGTACAGATGGGGAAACTGAGGCACGCTGTTTGTCTGGTCCTGCACTCCCAAGGGATGAGCTCCCCAGCCTCCCGCGGTGCCGGGCAGAGCTCCGCTGCCGCTCAAGGGAAGGTGCCCTCAGCACACGGTCCCGTCACCCACCGGCTTCACCCCGGCAGACCCAGTGTGCCCGGGATGCAACTGCCTGTACCCGTACCAGTGCGCTTGCACGCTCCCCATCCCAGTCCCGCTGCCAGGATCCGTGCCCAGCCACTGGGCTCGGCAGGCGGAGGATGCTTACGCTCACCTGAGCCCACACAGGGATGCAGGGATGGGATGCAGGGATGCTCTAGTCTCACTCAGCTCCTGCCCCTCTGGCTGCTGGCAGCAAACTGAGCCTGGAGCCAGCAGGAGCCTCATATAGAGGTTGAGGAAGAGGAAGAGCCACCCCATTAACCCTTACCAGCCCAGCCCCGTCAGCAGCAGCCCACCCTGCCAGCATGTGCCCCAGCCGCAGCCTTCACACTGCAGAGCCCTGCCTCTACCGAGCCAGCATTAACCCTCCTTCTCCTGCAGCTCCAGCTCACCTCTGCCAGCTCTCCTCCTCCCTCCATCTCCTTACGGGAGCCTGGCTGGGATTTTGGGATCCGCAGCAGAGATCTCTGCCTCCTCCCAGGCAGGACTGTGTCTCTGTGTCCCTCCAGCACACAGGGCATCAGGAACGGGACAGGGAAACCATGCCCGTTCCAGCAGCTTCTCTTTCTTCATCCACCCCAAGATGCTGGGTGCAGCTCAGGAGCAGGAGCCCGCCACGATCCCCTTCCCCAGGATCCTGCCCTGGCCGGCGAGGGAGAAGAAGGGAGGAAGGGTCCTTCTGGCACTTTCTCCGTTGGTGGCGAAAGGGTCAAAGCCAGCCCCGAGCCAGGCCCGTTCCTGTCTCCTCTTCCCCCCGGGAAGGGCTGTAAATTGCAGGAAGCCACAACAGGCTGGAGCTGGCCCAGGGGTTATTTTTACCGCTGCCCTCTCCCCTTCCCGAAGGCCGTGCACTCCCATGGGGGCAGCCCCCGGTCCCCCTCCATCCCCAGCGCCTACCTGGGGGGCTGCGAACGTGGCACCGCAGCAGCTGGAGAGGGGGGGAAGGACATGCTGCACCCCGAGCTGGGCTCCCAGCACCTCGGAGTGGGGACGGAGAAAGCCCCCAGTGCTCCCTAGGGACCCCCCCAGCTCCTTCCATCCCTCTTGCAACCAGTATGGATGGAGAGCTGGGGTACAGCCCAGCCCAGGCTTCTTGCAGGGACTCAGAGCATCGGGAGGTTCCAGTGGGGACAAAGTCATGGCATTCATCCCGGGACTCGTAGGCCAGGGCACTCCGTCCCTGGAGGAGAGGGCACCCGACCCCGAGCGCTGCTGGCCCCCACCCCAGTTCCTTCCTGCGGTGCCGCTGCTGGGGAGCCAGTGCCGGGAACTGGGGCTGGGTCAGCATCCAGTACCTCCCTGCACAACGGCACTGATGCCAGAAAGGGGCCGGGGCCAGGACTCCGGGGCTGACAAAAACGGAGGCTAAAATGGAGGCTGAACAGGATGAAAGCAGCCAGGGCTTGTCTGAGCTCTGCCAGGACCGGAAAAATTTCCAGTAAAAGCAAGGAAGGGACAAACCACCTATTCTATTCTAATAAACCTGGAGAGGAGCAATGCAGGCAGTTGTGTTTCCAGCAGCACTCCGGCTCTGTGTGCAGGATGCGGCCGCACCAGAGCAAATCCGACCATCTCCAGAGGAAGTTGGGGAAAAGGATGGGGGCAAGTGATGGAGAAACCCACGGCAGCCCTGGGATCTGCCCCCAGGAAGACAGTGCCTGGGTTCCCACGCAGGAGAGGGGCAGCCAACAGGACCTTATTTTTAACTCTAGGCAACGTGAGTCACTGTTTATTAAGACAGGTTTTATTTTCCAAGCTGGAATCCCGGCAGCCGTTCTGGTAAAGCCACAAGTGAGTAAGAGCAGCCTTGGATTCACCTTTCTCTGGCAGACCCAGGGTGCTCCCATGGGATGCTCCTACCCAAACGCCTGCCCCTGCCCCAGAGCGACCGCCCTCCTCTCCGGCTCCTCCTCAGAGCACTCGCCAAGCACTTACTGTTGAACTGTTATATTTGGACGAGGCAGATTCCCTTTGGGATACAAAAAGGGATGATTTGAGGGGCCTTTCCCGGCATCAGCATCTCAGGCAGCTCCTGCTTCCCCTGCGGAGGTGATGGGGGTTTTGTCACTTCAACTTCTAGGAAGGGATTACCCAAGTAATCAGCCTCCTGTGAATGCACCAGGTGGCTTTTCTTAGTCATGTGGATGCTCAAAGTCCCTTGTTTTTATTTAAGGTTACTCAGAGCTCTCACAAGGTGCTCTCTGCTCGTCAATGGGGCTCTGCTTCCCTCTCCTCCCAGCTCACTGGGAAGCGAGCACGGTGCCAGGCAAGCAAAGCAATCCCGGGAAAAACCCTGCCGCAGCTGGGGCCAGGTATGGAAACTTCCAGCCCTTGCAGCAGGTGAGAAAAGCCTGAGAAAGTCCTCAAAGGTCACGAGTCCCAGAGCACAGATCCTCCTTCCAACACCATTTTTCAGAGCATGTCTAGCTCCCAATTAAACAGCCCAGCTCCTTGCAAGCCCATTCTCCCTCCCAGCTCGTGGTAGGGTGGACACAGCCTTCTCAGCCCTGCTAATTACATCCCCACCCTATAACCCACACATCAGGCTTGAGGAGCAGCAGCAGAGCAGCATGGCCAGCGCAGGGCTCCCACCACAGCTCTGATGGATCCGGGCGAGCAGGCAGGGAAGCCAGAGGCTGCCATGCCCACAGGCAGCAGGAGGGCTGAAGCTGGCTGTGTCCCATTCAGTCCTTTCCAGATGCATTTCTCCTTTAAAAATAATAATAATAAAAAAAATAAATCACTTTAACTCCACCGTGACCAGATGCAGACAGGACTGCAACACCTGATAACACAGCCATCTGTTTCTACTTGCTGGTTTACTTTCATAACCCACAAAAGCTCTTTCTGGTCTGAGGTCCATGCAAATGCCACCGCCCGGAGAGCAGCCCACGGGAGCTGGGTGGCTGCAAGCCAGAAAGGGCCCAGGGTGCAGGCGCTTTCCTTCGGGAGAGGGCAGGAGTGGAAGGCTTGCTATACAAGTTTAAAAATATCAAGGGCTCAAATGGGCATGAATAAATCTGAAACCAACACCTAATCTAGGGCAGCCACCCACAAGTTGGTGCAAGTAGAAACTACACAGCAGCTGGGCCCAGAAGACGCTGAGGCTCCCATGGATGTTCATACCCGCAGTGGGGGCTTCAAAACCCACCATGGGCACCAGCCGGCCTTGCTGACTTCTGCCGGCTGTTCAGTGTCTATGGAGCTGTCCTGGTTTCAGCTGGGATAGAGTTAATTTTCTTGCTAGTAGCTGGTATGGTGTTACATTTTGCATTTAGTATGAGAAGAATGCTGATAGCACTACTTTGCAACAACGGAAAACATCAGTGTGTTTACACCAAGTCAAGGATTTTTCAGCTTCTCATGCCCAGGCAGCAAGAAGGCTGGATGGGCACAAGAAGTTTGGAAGGGGACACAGCCAAGACAGCTGACCCAAACTGGCCGAAGGGGTACTCCATACCATGTGACATCATGCCCAGTATATAAACTGGGGGGAGTTGGCCTGGGGGGATCGCTGCTCAGGAACTAACTGGGCATCGGTCAGCAAGTGGTGAGCAATTGCATTGTGCATGACTTGTTTTGTATATTCCAATCCTTTTATTAGTATTGTCATTTTATTATCGTTACTATTATCATTATTAGTTTCTTCCTTTCTTTTCTATTAAACTGTTCTTATCTCAACCCACGAGTTTTACTTCCCCCCCCCCCCCCCCCGTCTCCCCCCC